TGGATCCACGAAAACGGAAAACATCGAGCAGTTTAGGGAAGGCAGTTCTAATGCGAAAAGCTTACCCGAAGGGATCAAATGGAAAATCACCCACCTTGCTTCTTTCTGGCAATCAACTCGTCCGGTGAAATGTCGTAAAATGTGAGAAATATATTCTGAGCGTATATGATAACATAGCCGGCGATAATAACTGAACGTTCAATCATCGGCTCAAACTTGCTAGGGGAAGGAGAAAATTTCGTCGAATACTTACATGCTGTACTGAATGGAAAGGCCAAAGAGATTGATGATAGGCAATCGGTTGGAAAGAGGAGCAACGTAAGGAAATAGGAGAGCAGTTGAAGACCAGACGGCCTCTGACACAGCATCAGCTGCAAGTGGCGGTAACCACGGCGACCAGGACGAGATGAAATGTGCCCAGTTGGCTAAGCGCCAACGTCTCACGCTTCTCACCCCCACACAGAAATGCGGAGTATTCACGGAAAATGTATTAGCAATGAGCAAAATTCTGAACTCATTTGCTTCGTGATGTAGGGCAGATTAGCATAAGGCTTTGCTTCCCATCAGGAGCCTCTTGATAGCATGCACGCCGGAACAAGCACTTTTTCATCAGAAATCGAGGAATAGGAAAAGTGAGGTGGGTATTTCGCTCAACAAAAAAACCAAATAGATCTACCAAAACATGCTAACTGGTGGTACGACTCTGGGGTTGGCTTTGAGAGTTAAAGGATAAAGGATAAAGATTTGGGTAGGTAAAGACACACATTCACATACATTCTGAATCGTAGTGGCTTATTGAATGCGTATGTGGCCTATACCATGCCTTGCGGTAGCCAGCCGATGTACAAGTCACTGCTTTCATCCTCCCAGACGAATCTGGTACTAAGTAATCAACTCCGGAGGGATAGAAGGCCTGGTTGGCTTAAGCAGATATCGTTCCGGGGTTCGAAGCGTGTGAGACAGTGCGCCACATGACACTACACCAACTTTCAATCTTACTTTCCTCCTTCCTTCATCCATCAATGTTATCTGTCCACACCATTGTTTCTTGCTCTGCTACAGTTTTGCCCTTGCCACAATACTGCTGGTACTAATTCGTATCACCTTATCATAACTTTCGCTATCATTCTCCAGTTAAATTGAAGAAGTACTACAGGATAGCTCGACCCATCGGGAACCCAGAAATGTCTAAATTCTTGTTTTTCTTCAGATATTGAATTTCGTTTTGACTGAAAACTTCATTTTCTGAGCCTAGAAGGTACGTATGGAGATGTATTTGGGGGCTATGATGGCGCGTTATCAAATAATTTAATAAGCTTAATGGCGGAATTCCAATTGAAAATGATGGTTTAAATAGGAATCGCGAGACTAGGTACTTCTGTCTAACATACTTCTGCTCATCACAGAAACCGTGTCATTTGATATCTATTGAGAGGCCCAGATGAGTAGAACAAGGAAAATAAAAAGGACAATTTTCAATGATCGAATTGATGTTCCGCTTCAAACTTGTCAATTTCCAATATCGGCTGTGATATGTCTCAGATTTGAAGCCACCGTTCACGGTAGAAACGGTTTTTGAGATATCTACTCCAGATGAACCTATGACCCGCAAGGATACCCTAGGCGAGGCTGTCGGGTTGAAAAACGGTTAATAAAGGGCGTAATAAAAGCCCCAAAATCGGTCTAGTCGACGTACAGTTTTTAAGCGTTGTAACTGTAGAAGTTGCACCATTCGCAACGGGAGTCCACCTTGCACCCAGGCAGCGCATTGCAGCCAGCCGTATGCAATGGCACGGAAGTTTGAAGAACTCGTCCAAATGCCGCTTCCATGCAGCTTTTTCGTGACATTCTCGTCCAACCCCTAACTTTCCTCTTCCTTTAAAGCCTTATATCTCTCTGAATGCACCGATTTTTCTTTTCTTCGCCTTTTTGGACTGATCTGGACCATCACTCCCATCACACGTCTGGAACTATAATAGATACCCCAAAACTGTCGTGTACTGTTCCTATAAACGGACATGTCTTGCAAAGATTTTTCGTTGTACAAATTGAAGGACGGTTAGTTGATTAAGATTGCCAATCCCTCAATACTAATCCGTCTCAAACCGTCAGTTTAGCGCGAATTCGTAGCAGCATTGCGTATCTCAACACAAAAATACGGCCCTTAACCCATTTTTGAATTTCTATATACCTTTTCTTCATAGTAACCCTTTGTGGCACTCATAAGGGGACGAGAGATTAGTCCGAGAGGAAAGCCTCAGGAACAATTCAAATCGTAAAGTGGGCCTTCATAATGCCTGGCGTTCTTGAACCTCTTTGGCTATTCCAAAAACCCAGGCCTACCGAGTAGGTGTAGTTGTGGCAGTAGAGGCCGCTGATAATTAAGGGTTCTCATTGAGATTCTGAATAGATCAGCACAGAGGCTTGAGAACTCTCCGCAAGAATCGTTTCGTTTAGGAAAGTATTTCAAGGAATCGACAACAGAGGTAATTGATGAGAGCTGATTCATCGCAATGAAGCAGTACATGTCCTGTATTTCACATCAAAAGTCGTCAACCAATTACTTAATTGTAATACAATGATGGACTACAGGGTCGATGATTTTGCCAATATTTTGAACAAGCTTCAGACCTCGAAGATAAAATTGGTGGCATGCAACATGCAGTTAAAGGCATAGTTCAAGGTATAGATGATGTAATGAGATGTCCCGCTAGGATAAATCTGTGGCCCCCTTGTATACCATATGTGGCGCTGTCAAGTCGAAAAAAGGGCTGGATAAGGAGTAATAAAGGCTCAAAAATTGTCCTATGTGTATGCGCGGACGAGTTCCAAGGGCATTGAAAAGGCTGTAATTCTGGACAGTTCTGGTTCGATGTGATCAGTTTTTTTTTTCAAAATTGCAACTGAAACTTCGTCCAAATACGCCGCCATACATATCATTCCCGTCATGGTAATCTCGTACAACCTCTATTTTCACTCCTTTCAAGAGCCTTACTTTCGCAAAGTCGACAAATTCCCCCTTTCTTCACCATCTTCACTATTCCCAACGAATAACTCCGCTTTTCGGCTTAAAATTAACGCGAACTGTGCTTTATCAAAGGCCATATTGTAAATGTGTGTGTGTGGCCTGTAGCCAGTCCCACAGAAAGAACGATTCTCTAAGGAGCACGATCGTGCCTCATATCTTTATTTCTAATTGAGAAGAGCTCAGTTTTGTGAGTAAATCGTAGAAAATCGAGCCATGCGGTTGGTGCTTCAAAGAGTGTAGCCGGACGTCGTTGCTTCGACAATAGACGACCCTAAAGTTATTATTTCGAGGATAAGAATGAGTAGTGTGAAGATAGCTTACGGCTTTTTGGAGCATTCGTGGGTACGGACCCACTGGCAGTCACGGCTTGAGGTCCATACGCCTGAACAAACTGCTATAAGATAACAATGTCTCAAATTAGGGTAAGAATAGTGCTCGTGGTATCAATACCGTTTTGGGACCCCCCCCCCCCNTTTGGGCCCCCCCCCCCCCCCCCTCCCCGCATTCAACTTGCATTTAGAATAGTAGAAACCTCTTTAAATGCGTATGTAGCCTACATAATGACTTGCTATGACTAGTCGATGTACAAGCAGTGTCTTTGCCCTCACTACCCGTTAACCGACCCCAGGTGATGGAAGGGTTGAATGATCGGAGCGGATGGGTAATGGTTTCTATCCCTGGACCATGCGTGTGATATTGGCCACTTATCCCTTCCTGCGGCGAAAAAAAAGCAACAAACCCCTGCTGCAAGTTTATCCTTCATTTCCGTGACAGTTCGAATGATAGCTGAAGCCTGTGCTCTGATTGAACCCTGCGATTGTAGGCACTCCTCTAGTGATTCCGAAACTTCATCGAGAATATCCGTAAGCTGAAAAAAGGAGAGCTTCGCCAAAAGGAAGAGCTACAACTTCGAGGCTGAAGCTGTTAGTATTATAATACGGCTTGAATCAGATGAGCAACTGAGTCTGTATGAGGGCCCCTTGATTCCACTTGGGTCCACATATGCTTTCAATTCACACCGCAGTATGGACGGTAGAAGGTCGTATATCCATTGTACCATTGGACAACTCGTATGGCGGTGCTGAAGTCTGTGCTGGCAGTGTTCATACTCACTCCGCTACAACAATTGGCCCTTGCCAGCTTATGTGGCTGCTTTACTGCGAAAGAAGGCCCAATGATAGCCAAAATAGAGTCAGTATAAGGTCTTCGGTGTCAATCGATCATATGTGGTGCTATGCTCCCTCGCATTCAACTTCACATTCAGAGTCGTAGTGGCGTATTGAATGCGTATGTGGTCTATGGGGCGACGGAACTTCTCCCCGAATTCCCACGGCCAGCGGCAGTGGTTCCGCGGCAACTGTCGTATCCTTCCACTGGGAACTCAAATCTTTCCTTCATAGCTCGCGATTGCATGCTAGCGAGAGCGACAATTTGTTTGGGGGAAGATACCAGACTCGTAGACTATGTGCTACTCGTGGTGACCAATCGTTGTACAATTTTGTGATCTTACTCTCGCAATTGAGTCTGGTACCAATTGGGTGAACCCGGAGGGACGAAAGGTCTGGTTTTCCTGTGCACAAGTTTATACAGGATTCGGTCTCCTGGCTGTTCGCGTGATAGTTCTTGCCACTTCCCACTGCACCACCTTCGCCTTACTAGAGGTTGCTTTTCCGAATAGCTACAATTCGGTATTAATGACTATCAACTGATCGAAATTGCCCAGGCAAAGTATACACCCATGCTATGTTGTATGCTGCATAAGCGCCGTCCCGGCAACATGAACAGTGTTCTGAGTTTCCTCCTGACAGCTACTACCCGAACTTCCCTACAGATTGTCCAAATCATTGCCTAAACCCTAAAAGTGGAGAGTTTGACGGACAGACAGACAAACATGCAAGTCGACAAACAAACGGAAGTACCAAGTCAGTACCCCATGCATTGGAAGGGTAGCTGTTGATGGACAATAACGTACCGAATCCAGTGTTCTCGCCTTACGTCTTTCACGTTGAGACTGCACTTTTTTCTCCAAAGCGCTTGTGCGGTACTTGCACTCGATAACCTGGAAAACCCACCTACTTGAGGACGTGACCAGAGTGTGACAAGTAATGCCTAAGGAAATGATGTCTGGAAGCGTTGATGAGAGTAGGAATTCAACTCCTCATTATTTAGTGTTTCATAATGGTGGTTGATTTTGGGAGGTTTGCAGTAGCCGTTCTGCCTACACAGGTTCTTTATTTTCAGTGTTACGGTGCAAGGCAGCTCGGACAACATAACAAGTTACCATGTGAGCTGCCATGAAATGAAATGAAAGCGAGTGTTGCTCGACTTAGGGACATGGGGAGGGAAAGACAGGAGGGAGGAGGCGAAGCTAGATCCTCCGGAGTCTAATCCTGTTCTTTTTTAGATTCGCCTTGGTGTCAGAGAGCGCAATGATTTCTGAAAAAGCAGGTTCACTGTAAGGGATTCTTTGGATGACATCAGCATTCACTTTTGATATTCCGCGTCCTACCTGAGCCAAGACGTCTTTAGCATCAACCGTTTCGTCGTAAGCGAAGTACTCCCGATGAAGGCCGATAGCTGAGTCCTGAAGAAAGTTTTTGTATATAAGTGTGGACAAGATGAACTTCCATATAATAGCGAGATGAGGGGAAAGTCAAAAAATGGAGATGTTGCAGCGATTAGTGCTAAAAGTAGTGTGAGGCCATCTTACTATATATTATTCGCTGAGTGTTCTGTTGATGTACTGATGTAAGTGCATGCGTATGTATGTATGTGAGGGTCGGTGTCTGTGTGTGTGTGTCAAGGTGTGTGTGTCGGAGGGTGTGTGCGGGAGTGTGGGTGCTGGCGTGTATGTGTGTTGGTGTGTGTAGGTCGAGGTGTCCTGTGAGTGTGGATATGTGTATGTGTGTGTATGTGAGTGGTGTAGTCGGTGTGTGTAAATTTGACCAGAAACTCATAACTTCTGTCCACCTGGACCTAACGCGTTCGATTTTCAATAAGATGCTGGTGTCGGGGTAAAGCACTGACGGTATTTGAAGGGAAGGTAGGGGGCTGCGAGACCCCTCGGAAGAAAAGAGCCTTTTTGTAACTCTAGGCATTCTAGGGAAGTCGACCGATAGTCCATATCCATGCAAGTAAAAAGGCCTACAAGCCACATCAGGAAGTACAGTTCATGACTTCGGTAGAGTGATCATAATAATGGGGAAGTAACGAGCACGATTAGACCCAGAAATGGGAAGAGTCAAATCCACGATGGGTTATTAGCCAGGAGCAAGAGGTTGATAATTGGAAACCATAAATGTAAACATCACCCGGGCAAATTTGAGGTGCTCTTTTAATTCTGACTGACTTGGTATTTTCAACCTGCCACATATGCGATCCACTTGCCCTTCAACGCGGGGGACGGACTTAGGTGCGTCCGAGGATGCGCGCTGCAATTTGCGCGGCGAAGTTTGTGACGATTTGTACGACTCTGACGCCAACTTTCAGAACACATACTTGAAGTAGAGTAGTTTAGTAGGGTCAGATGATCCTTCTTATCTGCTCTACCTTCAAATATGGGCCCCAAAGATAGGCGCTAAAGTCGATCAAATCGTCACGAACTTCGCCGCGCAATTTGCCGCGGGCATCCTCGGACGCACGTATGTCCACATACCCCTCCAATGCCCGTGCTTGTTCGATCCTGCCAGGACAGCGCAAATACGCTTCCCAGTCCCTTCCGAAGCCAAAGTTTTGTCTATAACTCGCCCACCTTTGACTCTCAAGAGTGATGTGGACGAAAATGTTCTTTTTTCAGAAACGAGGAATGACGGGTTAGCCCGGCCAAGGCCATTCGACTGGTGTTGATAAGGCTTTGTTTTCAAAGAATGTTTGCTTGATGGTACCAACACTCGTCCCCAGGTCATCGCTTTGCCCTTATCCCAGCGAATTTTCGATAACAGTACTAATCAAGCTGTTAAGTCGCGAATATGGTCACCCTCCAAAAACTTCTATTGTTTCCGAAAAACAATTGAAGTAACTGACCCGCAAAACGTCAACAGTACGTTCGAACAATCTAAGATCGGCATTTTCAATAGGATTTGAGTACTGAAATTATGTCAGAGTCAAGATAAAGCGTTTGTGAACTAAAGGGACTTGATTCTCACGGCTTGCTGAACGATAGCATTGGCTTGTTTTTCGATCTTGGCTCTTTTTTGGGCATTATCGATGCGCCCAGAATAAACGGACTCGTCCAGACGATCGATTAGTGCTAAGCTCTGAACCGTCCAATTAATTTCAGGAACCCTGAGGAATAGAAAAACGGATGGATTGCCTTCTGGATAGTGCTGTCAAATGAGGTTGTTAATGAGCTGATGGCATTGTGGAGACTCTCCTTTGCTTCTTCGGCTGCTCGTATAGCGTTTACCGCTCGATGAGTAGCAGTCGTTGATTGCCGTAGGAGCGCCTGAAATGAAATTGTCCGGGGATTCCAAGAGATGCCATCATCACGAGACAAATAAGTTGTAATCCACCTCGACTGGTCCGACGTTTATGGGATCGAAATCTGGCTCTGTAGTCCCGTAAGATTCAACTGTCGCCATCCAGGAATACCTACATATACTTCTCGTCATTGTCATCGATGTATACAGGACAATGGAGCACTCAAAAGCTCATCTCGGACTTATTCTTTTGCGGAAATCAGTCCGATCAGCTCAATGCCAGGTTTAGGCTGCTAGCTCCAAAGTCAAACTAGCACTTCACACCAAATCTACCTCTGAGGATCCAGTAGTAAGGAAAGAACACCGTGAACCCCATGGCAGGTCCAACTAACCTCTACTGCTTCTCAGTGGAAAGATCCGCAAGAGAATGAAGCGCTAGCAGCATAGAGTATTTAGATAAGCGTAATGTATGATAGCCTGATAGCCATAGCAAACACAAGTGTGCCTCAATGAGTGTGCTATGGCTACCGCCACGGTTGAATCGCTACCAACTGATACATATAAGGTAATGAGAATTCTAGAGTGCCGTACAAAGACATGTGCTCTACGAATTGTCCGTCCAATCGAAAGTGGCATAAAATTCAGGTTCGCTGGGCTCTGAATGTGTCGGGACTTGCAGAAATTAAGGAGCCAGGGCAACAGGTCAAAGTCACGAGCACTTTGGGATCGTGAGTTCGCTCTCTTTCCGGTTATGGCTCGACCTCCCAAAATCGTTGAGTTGACTCCGCTCAATGTTTCTTCTTCCAAGCCTGTCTCTAATTACTCACATCATGCCCTTTCACAACGAAATCGGCGCTGTATTCAGTGGATGTTATGTAGACGATTAACTTGACTGATACGGCTTGACAACTTCCTTGCCTGGAGTGAGTGGAGATCAGAGAAGCCACTGTCACGTCTGGGATGGGCGATGGTGAGAGACCATCACCATTACCGACCACAGAAGCGAACTTACTATATGTTCACAATTCGCTAAGTAGTTTCGCGTACCAGTTTATGTCTGTACATTCCATCCACTGGGTACTCCTACCCTGCTATGGCTTAGTTGGAAAACAACATCCCCCTGACTGAAACCGCATGAAGGGCACATATGACCGGTGTCCTTTTTGAGAATTTTGATTATTTCAGCTTTATGTAAGATTCAAGGCATCGAATTAAGAAAAGTGTTCTAGTCTGCATTTGCAGTTCTTCAGAGACACGAAGGATTTTCCAAAAGGCAAATTCTATGGAGACCAACAAATGAGACACCAATTGTGCTATGCCAGGGCTACATGGTGGATGCGTTAGGATTCCCACTGAAGCTCCAGTAATTTTTGACGAGGGCTCAGAGATACATATGCTTTGGCGTTGTTCAGGTGAAAAACCGCACTCTAGCCAATGTGTCTGACTAGCTTTTGGTTGTGTTGTAAAAGGACAAGGGGTAAGATCTTCCGTCGTCAACCAATCCCCTCCTAGGGATACGTCCCGTATTCGACTTCAACTCGGAATCGCAGTATTGAATGCGTTTGTGGCCTGTACAATGACTTGCTGTGGCTAGTCGGAACGCAGCGCTTTAAATCTCTCAGACGAGTTTGATACCAATTAACGGACCTTTGGAAGGATTGGAAGGCTTGGTTAACCTGGGTGGTTATTTTTCTGAGACTCGGATCCGTGACCATGCGTGTGTGATAAGCGCCACTTGCCACTCCACCACCTCCGCCCCGGTTGTATGATATCACCTATATCACATGAAGCTGTTCTCCCCACCAATTTGATCACCAATTTTCCGGTAATATCTCCATTCGTCACTGTCGCTGAGCAGGACAGTCCAGTGGATCGTATTCGCTCGAGGGACACGAGGCATAGTACTCCTCTCGTTCAGAGCTTTCGCGAAAAAGTCTGACCATCGTGCTGACTACCGTCCTGGTGTTCGTTTAGTAAGCATCATGCGCGGAGGAAGCATATAAACCCCATTCTCTGACGACTGTCAAAAGTATTAGATTTATCTTCAAAACATAGACTGATACCATGTGTAAACCGACACTCATGACTGGTAAAAGGATCGGGGATCGACAACAAGACGATCATTACAAATGATATTTCACCGCACAAAAGGAAGTAAGTGAAATATCGATGAGACTTCATATCGAGAAACTGAAGGGTGACACAGTCTGTTGAAGCAAGGCATTGTTCTCGAGGGAGACAGTCGCCGTGGTCCTCGGTCCAGACGGAAGGTCCATTCCTCGAAGAAACTCGAGGAGCCGTTGACACACCCTGAAAGCATTCTATGAATATAGTTTAACAAAAACTGCGTAGCTCCAAGCGCTATGCTTACACCTCCCTCCTTCACCGTAAGCTTGACTCGGACTTTGAGAATGAAGCAAAGAAAAAAGAACCGTGTCACTAGGTTGCGTGGAGTCGGTCTCGAAAAATATTATCCATCCGGCTACTAGGGACGATTACGTCAAGCGAGTCAGCCCAGTCGAGCAAGCGGGACCACGACCAGCGGGACGAATGTTGCGCGTAAAGAGGGTGCATGTCTTATGATGTGTTGCGCATGTTGACAGCGAGTTGTTGCGACGTTGAGCCTGCTGTAATCGTCTGAGATTTCGGCTGAATAAGTATTAAAGTTAGTTTCAGTGCTAACAATGATGGCGGCATCCTCTTCGTGCCCTTGAACTGAGTCTACTGTCGTCAGCTCAATCGCGCGCTGGGACAGTGGTTCTCTGAGCTGCCGGAATTGTTCCCTGTAAAATGTGATGACACGGATGCACATACTTGGTACGTTACGAGGGATTAAGGGTCCAAGACGTCTTCAAGGGCGTTATAGTGGGATTTTCTTATGGCCTGCTGTGATGTGCCTGGCATGTTAATGAACATAGAGACCAGGCCTGGTGTTGGGAAGCGGAAGCCGTCCAGTAAGAATATGCCGGCGTCCGCAGTTGTCACAATGATTAGAGCTCCTAAATACGCTATGGTACCACGTCATGAGGGGCTCACTAAGAGCAAGGTGCGAAGAGAATGTTGTTATAAAAGGAGCGACAGGCACTCCCGGAGCACGCAACAGGATGGTCATGACACATCCGGCGCCGTGCAGACGGGGTTGGAAGAATGTGGGCATTTGGCGTGCACGGTGAGTTGGTGCTCATCACTGATATATACATGGTGGCCGGAAAGCGGGCGGCGATAGCGGAGAGGGCAGGTTCCGGGATTTGGGAAGCTTCGTCGCCTACGATAGGCCGAAAGAAGGGAATGAAAGGGATGAGAATCCCGGTCCGCCCTGCTGTAGATTTGAGGCTGTAGTCATACATATGCGAAAGACAGCAGTCTTCGAACAAACCACGCGGCGAAGAGTAGCGGAGACGTAAATAATTCTCGGCTATCTCGTACTCCTCACTCTCATCGTCCGACACTTCGGGGACGCGTTCAGGGTGGGTTAGGTAGTCCTCGAGTAGCTGGCTGTTCCCGGAAGTCGGGACAAATGATGCGCTCGTCGAAGTCTAACTGTTCGTAGGTGTCACCCAGCGTCTTCAGGATCTTACTGAGGTCGGCGCTTGTAGAAGTGCGGTTATCGCTCACGGCTGAATCGGAGATGTGGCGTACTACCCGTGGATTAGGGAAATCGTCCAAAGACAGCAAGGTGTTCGCGAACTAGGTTTCGCGGCGTTCATAGAATTCGTGACGACGACGGTAGTATCCGGGGCATGGGATGATAGGGCGACAATACGGGCGCCTATAAAGGTATAAAGGTCTTCCTGTGCCAAACGCTGCATGTATAGCGACTATGAGCTGGTTGGAAGATCCAAGGTGCACAGCTCCTTTCTGATCAGGTTTAGGGACCATCATTCGCTGATAGACCGAGAGAGTCCAACCTGCGTGGGGAGATTTGGAGGGTCGCGCAGGCGCAGGGAGCTGGTCTGCGCCCGACCGTGGGGGCCGAAGATGGGGCCTATAACCCGGTGGCCGATTGAGTCTGCTCGCAAGTTGTCGAACATGGGGCACGAGACACCAACTCATAAACTGGTTCTGAGGCAGCCGAGGTCTTGACCAGGCGTATGCAGATGTCATCGGTGTGGGCGATGCCGATGTACTGTAGGCCGCACACGCACGAAGCCAGATTCGAAAGCGAAGAGCCTCGACGGTAGCTTCCATTCTTCGCACAGAGAAATTGGGTTCGAAGTGTATGACCTTAACTTAAATTGAATTATTTGAATCTACCACCCAAATTATGCGTGGCGGTCAGGAACCCATCCCGCCTCTGAAGGCATGTCGTCGTGGAATCTAACACGAGTTACAAACCAGCGTGGCCTAACGGTTGTGGCTTGTCAAGTGGGAGCGGCGGTCGTCGTCAGCGTTATTGGCGGCGGCCAGTGCAGAGCAGGCTGCATCATATCTTTGCGACTGTAGAACCTCCGAGAAGGGTGATCTCGGCCACAGGCTTGATATAGCAGGTGCTGTTGAATGGTACCAGCCGGAAATCACGGGGAGGAACTAGCATACACCAGCGAATCTGTAGGAAATCACCACCCAAAAACGTGGTGGCGATATCGCTCCTATCCAGAGCATTATGGACCATTAAGATAGGGTCAAGAGCCAACGAGGTGTGAAGTGCAAACGGTAAAAGATTAGTGCGAACGCACAATGCTGACGGAGCATGGCGAAATAGTGTTACGACTGCTGTGCTCATCGATCCCTCCAGTAGTTGGACCACTAGTTGATTTGAAGTTACGATACTGGTTTTCAAATCAGACGAACGCGTTCGTCGATGACGATGGCATAGCCGCAGTCGGGAACGGTTGCTTAGCAATCTTAAACACGGTCACTGGAGTCGGTCCAAGGACAGAGCGAATTCTCTGAGGTTCCTGATCCAGATGTCTCCTAAACGGTGCCCTCGCATCTTCATGACAGAAAGAAAACGACACTCTTCTTCCTTGTCGCCCAGATGCATGGATCCGTCCTTAAGAACGCAAGTTTCGGAGGTATAGTCACAGTGGGCCAGATTATCAACGGGGGAGTCAGGGGCGCTTAAATCGTGGCGCATGTGGACGACTGTGGGAACGACGATACAGTTGAAAACGATATCACATGGTCAGTACAACCGCCAAACGGAGTCGGGGACCACTTGATATCAGCCTTGTCGGAAGTGGACCGAACTTTCCGGACTGCGACATTACTCCATGCTTGCATTTGTGATGGGTGATCATGCGTTTGCATTCTTTCGAAGAAACGACAGATAATTCTTCACTGCGGCTCTCGAAGCGAGCCCCGAGAAAGTTCACAGAATAAATAATAGTAAGAGAAATAATTTTGCACAAGGAAGCCGAAGGGAATATCGTTTGCCTTCTCCTTTTCAAGTGAGGAGCTCGTATGGGTGCGAGAGTTGGATAGTGAAGATGATTTTGCAGCGCCAGATTGAGACAAAGAGCGGGGCGTCTGTATAACATCTGCCAGTGAACAGGCATGCGAAAGTAGCGAGATGCATAACAATGGAGGAAGAACGAACGCTCACCCTCTTAGTATATGAATCATCGAAAAAACGAGTACGTTCTGATCATCAATTGCATATAGTATCGACGTTATCTATGTAAACTAAACGGAGTCGAATAGGACCTTTTTAGTGCCAATCAAAAGACAGAACAGCGCACAAGGAGGCATATAAAGTAGTTCATTGTGACAGAACCGTCGGGTCAGAACGATGGATCTTCATCGAAAAGGAAGAAAGAAAGAATCTTACTGACAACGAGAGTGGCAGAGAACCGAATTAAAGAATATCAACATGCGCGGCTGCGAGCTAATTGCTATATCATAATGACAAGACAAAAATGGAACCATGGGTGCACCCTCACATAATGCCGCTTATACCCCAATGGGGTCATGCACACCAATCACTACGAATATTTTCCTATGATTTGCGCTCATATTGTTTCCCAAAAGTGCGAAGTGCACGCTCTTTTTCTCTGCTGGCAAATGATACCGTAACTATCCACGAAAACGAACTTTCCCAGCAGCAACGAAACACGAATAAGCTTTTCGGGCAACCGAAAACTTTTGCCGGGTAATAAAGACACGAAAAAAAACTGAGAAAGCAGCGAAAGAATCATAGTTGATAGTTGAGTTGATAATGAGGGCTTGTCACTTTTGCGAGTGTACGGAACCAGTTAGGATCGTGGGTGCTTGGTGCTTCAGTGTTGAAGCTGATTAAGACTTATGAAGATGAAAGAGGATCGACGCCGCTACTTACCTCATCTTCGTTTTACAGATAATATCATGCTAATAACAACCAACACTGAGCAGGGGGAACGAATGCTGGCCGAATGGGAACACGCTTGCGGAAGAATAGGCTTAAGACTGAACCTAACGAAGATAGTGCCCAACGAAAAGAAATGCGCTGCGTGGAGAGCATTTGAAATTGAGGAGATGCGAATAAAACTGGGAACATCCGGCTCCTCGTTTACATTTTAAGCACAGTGGTGCTTCCTACCTTGGCCCACGCGTCAGAGACGTGCATTCTACGCATACAGTACGATCATGAAGCCAAAGTCAGTCAGCGTCATTCAACGCACTATTTGAAGGACATTGATCGGAGTATCTCGACACATGCAAGGGCAGACGGAAATCCATGCAGGACGAAGTCCAGATTTCACATTTCCGTACAAATGAAGATAGGGGATGTTGCTCAGGTCAAGAGATAGGAGATAAGACCAGTTGGGCTGTACACGTTGGATGCCCATTGTCCAGGCGGTAACTCACCGATACTGTTTGAGTCTCACGAACTAGCGAGATCAACTGGAATTCGACAGCTATTTCTTCAACAGCTGGTAAAATATTCACGTCTTGACATCAGCCACCAAGTCATCCATTTCGTCGTAAGTTCCGTTCGCTAACCAATTTTTCAGCGGATGACTGAAGTGATAATCCATATGAGCTTCTGTTGGTGAATAAGGCGGGTGCGGGGGCAGTTTCCATTCTTCACTTGGCTTTGGCTACTGTTCCATCACGGGAAAGTTCACTGAGATCTTAATGACTCCGCCACCTTCCAACCTTTCTCGAAGCAACACAGCATAATGAATGTGGCAAATATGAAGCCACATTCCTGTTGAGGAGTATCGAGAGAGAAGAAGCCTCGAAAAAATCCGCAATAATTATGCATCAACCTGTTAATAACCTTCTGATCGACGCCCGCCTAGGCCAACCAAGCCTTCCATCCCTCCGGGGTCGGTGAATTGGTTCCATTTACGTCTGGGAGGATAAAAGCACTGACTTGTACATCGGCTGGCCACCGCAAGTCATTGTAAAGGCCACATACGCACTCATTACGCCACTACGATTCTGAATGGAAGTCGAGTGCGGGGGTGCATCCCTCAGACGAGATTGATTAACGCCAGCACTTTGTCCATTTTCCTTTTACTAACCTTACGTAGCTAAGTAAGTTTACTGCAAGGACGTAGTATCGCATTTGATCCACACAATAATGATGGCTATAGGAAAAGGAATTACCCTATTCTTACTTAGTTCAATTTGGATTTATGAAACGCATAATATTAGTTTCAAAACATAGAATGATGTAAAAGGAAACCATGTGATTCCGAGATTCATGTTGGCGCCCTTTTTCCTTCTTGGTTGTGAACATTGTGAGCATGGGCGTATAATAGTTTCCATACAATATGGATGGGAGAGCCGTTGGGAAAGTTCATCGTGGACCCTTTCCACATCCCAGACGCAATCACGCAATCAAATGATTTTGCAATAGCTTATAGACTTGTGAGCAATTTGTGAATGAATGTTTCGTACGTCAGACGACGAACCTCAGCGACTGATTTAGTGCACACATGGTCCTTCAAAAAGCAGTAATCATCTGGATTGCTCCACCGTTTTGCATGAACGATTCGGTCTTCATCGGTTTGATAACGGAAAAAGCAAAAGTTGTTCCCACTATTCCAGTATAGGGTTGCACGCAGCCGAACCGGTGCCAGACCTCCATATTCCGGGGCATTACGACTCGCATGTGAGCGCTAGGTTTACTAGAGACAATAGACCCGAAATCATAGCTCATTTTTATGTGCACGAGGTGCACGAGATCATGTCAAACCAGTTATTCCTCGATGGCTCCAAAGCAACTGCCTCGTAAAACAACTTTGGTGGTAGGTCTGTGGGAGCAGTGTACAATGCAGCTAGTAATATAGAGAATTGACAATGGCTCGGTTGGATAATATCTGGTCTTTCCAACGACTGGCCCGCGTTCGTTTAGCTACCACAATTTCCTCTATTTCAGTATTGCCTTTTTGTTTATTCAGGAAAGAGGTGACTATCAATGGAGAAAAGGTGACCATAAAAGGCCTGGCCCAAACACAGGCCGGACCTGTTCCCTACCTTTATTTAGAACCGAAGTTCAAGAATAATTCGTGAGTAGTTACACATAAATGTATTTTGTCTAATTTTGTTTTTATCAGACGGTTGGTATTTCAGAAAACTTGAGCATCAGATTTACAACGGTAACCCCGTGAATGAAGAAGTAGCAAACGGACAGTGAGCGCTGGTTCCTTTCGGTTTCCACTAAGAANCCTTCCACAAAAGCGGATTTGACTCTGAGTGATAGTAGTTTGGTTATGAGGAAGATTACGCAGTATCGGTATACGTAGTTCCCATGTGAGCGATAGACGTCGAAATGGATCCTTTTGATCAATAGCGATATCATAGTACAAAATGTGCTTATCATTCAATCGTTACTCGTCCCAATTGCCATTTCATTACGCTTATCCCTTGTCGATTCATGTGGTTGCTCTACAACATCATATATAGCTATAGATTACTAGTTCAACCCCACCGATCACGCCACATCAGCCTGTTTACCTATTAAGCTTTCTCCCAGCTGCTAACCTCTTGGTGCGCTGTGGGTCTCCCACATCACTATCTTTATCATTACCTCTACTACCTGAATAACCTCGTCGCCCCAATTATTGTCGATTTGCTCGAGCGAGCGCCAGTACTATAACCAGTCGTCCCTGTTGTGATTGTTGTGTCCTCTGTGACCCCAGCGAACCCTTCCCGCTCGCGGGGCACGTGGCATAACATTTATTTCGTCTAGAGCTCCTGTGAAGTAGTCCGACCATTGCGCCGTCCTCGTGTAGGTTTTACGTTCCGAAGGATTTACTTATTGAGCAACCAAATCCATCGTTTATTACAAAATTGCATGACGTGTGTGGAAAAAATATTTTCGACTCAATTAAGGGCATTCGAAACATTCATTCACCGACCGAGGTGCGCATAGCTAGAGCATTCAGAGAGATGTTATTATTATTCAGCTTAGAAGAAGCACTTTTACGTTCTCCACGATCATCGGCTTTGANCCATTGCGCCGTCCTCGTGTAGGTTTTACGTTCCGAAGGATTTACTTATTGAGCAACCAAATCCATCGTTTATTACAAAATTGCATGACGTGTGTGGAAAAAATATTTTCGATTCAATTAAGGGCATTCGAACCATTCATTCGCTCGACCGAGGTGCGCATAGCTAGAGCATTCAGAGAGATGTTATTATTATTCAGCTTAGAAGAAGCACTTTTACGTTCTCCACGATCATCGGCTTTGATAGGTTTAGTTGCAAGCTCATTTCTCCACAAGCATTTGCAAATTTGGACAGCAATCGATCCGCTTGTTCGACTCCGGTGCTATAAGCATATCGTTTGCAAAGCAGTGGCTACGTGAGAAGCGGCGCTTGATTTCTCTCCACCACCATCTTTGTCGCGTCAACTGAAGTCAGGACGACAAAAGAAGTCCATTTTTGTCTTGCGATTAGCGAAACGCCGAAGGAAATGACGAATCCTTATCCTTGGCGGCTTCGACTGAGACTGCTGTCTCTTCTTCGGATGTACCTTTATTCTTCCCTCTACATAGTGGCGCCAATTCAGGGTCAGTTAGCAATCATCTGCAGCTTGGGTAATCCATCTCTCAAGCATCACCTCGAAAAGAGGAGTATATTGGCTACTTGTATACTCTCAGCTTTTCTAACACTATTGCGGTGATATTCGACAGTTGGTTTGTTCCTCATCGATGCTGTCGGTAACGGAGTCTTCCCATAAACTTGCACAGCTCACTAGCAAGGGTACCTCGAATAAACTTTTCATTATTTCCCAGCACTTATTGGTTAGATGCAAACTTTTGGCTCAACTGATACAGGATACCAATGCGTACCACCCTGAATGGTGTACATGAGAAGTTTGCATGTGCAGGTAACACACACGCACACACACACTCACATACGGACATACGCACATACACACATACCCACATGAACACACGCACAAATACATGCACACATACGCACAAATACATACACACCAAAACACAACGCAATACAAACGCTTATTTTGCTATATTGATACCATTCCTTCCAATAGTTTTCAGTAGTTGGATGTGTTCACGTTGAAGCTTGCTTGTTGTTATTTTAGTGGATTTGCTTCATTCATGTGCGCTGAACATGCAATAAAGTTCTGAAAACAAACAAGCCCTGTGAGGAGAAAGACGGCTAGACACAACTGATCAGGGCCTTCATCCTCCCAATGCACTTGCGTCTCTGGCTCAAACTCAATGGTCCCCTTAAAAATGCTCCTTCTTAAACAATAGAACGAACCACCACCCTTGCTGCCACCCGAGCCTGCCGCCTTAGAGTCTCCATATACATCGTTGAATGAATATGAATTCAAACTCAAACTGCATGTACATATTTCCAGATGGTGGATGGGACGAGTGTCTCCTGTCGAAGTTGGTATAAGATTGGCCCGAGATCCGGGATTGGTCATGGGCAACTATGCAGTGTGCCAGCCTCCTGTAAGCGTTGTTTGTTGAATTCACGCCTTACCTTTGTATCCTTTGCTTTAGGAGATGGAACCGTTGGAGCCTGGCCAGTGGGCTGAGTTCGTGCTCGTGGTCAGAAATGTATCAGGTTAGAGCAGTTTTGGGCGAAATTCCTAATATTGAATAGTCTATGTAGCGAATCTATCGTGATAATGAAAAAGTTTCGTCGCGTTTCATTCAGTTGCGCCGCGGCGTGATTTGCTTCGTAACCCGTAGTTCGAACAGAGCGATATCACGATAGATCCGTTCGTCCCTCATCTAAATTCGCCCGCATATACTGCAGTGTCAACTTAAGGGAATGTCGATCAGTGGATGTACGAATGGGATTTGAGCAACAAGTTCAATCAGAAGTTCGGAAAAAAGTTTAAGGTGGCAAGATCGTTATGAAAAGTCATTGCTCAAACCATCAATGGTAGTTTAGCAAAGAGATATTGGAAATGACATCATCAAAGGTCCACCACATAGTCCTATTCCTCCCATTGCCTACTACATAATCAAACGGACGTCGTGAGTGTGAATCTAGCGCTATGTTCTTCTCATATGAGCATTTCCTAGCCTTTTCAGCCAAGGGAAATTTTTCTTAATACCAGAGGACGCTTTCTCTTCAATCGATTTGCTGCTCTCTCATTACTACAGTGAGCTCATTTTCCGTACTTTGAGTTACCTCACCACAGCATAATACTCTGAATTGATGCCGGACCAGAAGTATGTAGAAGGAATCTGTAGATTTTGTGGCCCGACAGCAACTCAGGATTTCCAGTGAAATAGATTGAGCTCGATCTATCGCTGCCGACGGTCGAGATATATCGAATTGATAATCGGCTACGCCCGTAAGCCTGAAAGCGCAATTTTCTGAGAACTGTGCNTTCTCATATGAGCATTTCCTAGCCTTTTCAGCCAAGGGAAATTTTTCTTAATACCAGAAGACGCTTTCTCTTCAATCGATTTGCTGCTCTCGCATTACTACAGTGAGCTCATTTTCTGTACTTTGAATTACCTTACCACAACATAATACTGCTGAATAGATGCTGGTCCAGAGTATGTAGAAAGGATCTTTAGACTCTGTGGCTCAACAGCAAATCAGGGATTCTTCCATGGGATATCCACTGGGATAGGTTGAGTCCGATCTACCGATGTGCACGGTCGAGATGTATCGAATTGAATCTGCTACCCGCAAGCCTGAAAGCGCAATTTTCTGAGAACTGTGCCCCTGAGAGTACTGTACAAGACATCCCTAGCGCTGGTAGGGGACATCGATGCTTACAAATCAGGGCATCAGCGTCATCCTTGGTCCTACTGGTCTTCTGTCCTCTGTAGGCAGGCAGTGAGCCTCTTGTACCGAATACTTTGTTGCATTTCAGTATTACTCAAACAGCAACTTTTTTGAAAAGCTGGCTTTACACAACCATCATGCTCTCGAGTGCATTCATCCCATTCTATTAAGCTCATCTACTGCCACTGAAGGGAGAAAAGTCTGTAGCCAAGCAGCCGTATCCGCTGTTTCTCCAAGGAACGAGCCGCTTCGAAACTCTGCCACATACTTTCCCCAAACCGATACTCGGTAATTTTTTCGTGGTCAGAAGAAAAATCAAGTGCGAACTAGAATAAGCCTGAATTTTCGACCGCTATTTTTAATATGCTTTTGATACTGCAATTTGTTGAAGAACGATGCATCTTACTCATAAAATACTATTGCAGGGGATCTTTCTAAACCTGAATATCACGCCAAAGAACGCTCGCCAATTCAGCTGCTGGTCGGAGGACCAGTAAAAGGTCTGGATCAATACAAGCCAAGGTACTCATGAATTGGAGGCCGTTTTCTTTTCTTTCTTTCTTGACGTGCTGGCAAAGTACAATCTGTTTGATAAAACGACAGATGTAGGATCAGATCCCATCGCCGCAGTTGTGAGTCGAAAAAAAAACAAATGTCTCATGGTTAAAGCCAACGATAAACGCCCATGCCAATTTTCTCTCCAGAAAACCACATTTCCACGTTTTTTACTCTTATTGATGTATTTTCTCGCTCATCACATGCGACCACTACAGCATATGGCATTTGCTTCCACTGATCCTGCATTACTTTTTCAATGTCCTCGTCCTATTCGTCTTCCCTCACACAATGCTGCTCTATTGTAGAATCGCAAAGAAAATTCTTGTCCAGGACCAGGAGCAAAGAGAGTCGCTGTTCAAAGCTTATCTCTTCTATAATGGCTCCTACAAACCTGTGACACTTCGCAAACTCAGGCCAAAACTGTTCAATAGGAAGGCATTCGAGAAAAACATAAAGTGGGTAGATCTCAAACATTCTCAAACATGGAATTCTATCGCATAGCAATTTGTTTTTAGACGGCTGACCGACATCGAGGAGAAGAGTAGAGCCAACCTGACGTTTGTGTTTTCATGAAGCAGCAACCCGAAATAGTGCTCGTATGTCCGCTTTTCAGGAAAGCTCAACCGGGTTGCCACAGGAACGGTTCCAATTTTCTGTCTCACATTGTCGCTTACGGTTACCATGAGGATGTGGTAGGTTGCCAACCAACACCTTGCAGTGGTATACCTTGGTCTTGTTGACTACAGCAGTCAGAAAATTAGTGCTGTAAAATTGTTTCAATGGTTAAAAGTTGACCGTTCTCACTCGTTCTTTAAAAGGGCTTTTAGAAATTTGCGAATTGGGTCGCGTACGAGTTCATTGCTGGCACTCCTCTGGACAGATGCCTTCAGCGGCGAAAATATCTGAACCAGTTCATGTCACTAAGACAAAAGTCGGAGATTTTGTATCAGGTTAGCGCTTAGATAGAATACAGAATGATTCAAAAGGAGGTCGGTGCAAGTAACTCTGAAAGGAAGAAATGCCCTGACCTTCCTGACATCAATCATTGGTATTCCAGGTCAGTGCGGGGATGCGATTTCTGGAGCTGAACGGATTGTGTCATCGTCACCTGCGAGCATCAAACATCATAGTCAATCAGTCAACAAACTACATTTATGCCGTTAAAATCACCGACTATCTGGTTCCATATCACTTTTTAGATGAGGTATGTTTTCAACATTTCCTCGGCATAATCAAAAAGTTCTTCTTGCAAAAAAACCCGATTTTACTAGAAAGTATTTTAAATAGAGACCGTGTTCAATCACTATCCAATAACAAGGCCGGTGAACCTTTGACGGGCGTTCAAAACGGTATTTTGACCTGCGTTGTCTGTCTGTACGTACCTGAGTTATGGTTTGGATGCCTTTCGTTAGCCATATGCTAGGGCTCATAGGAGTAAGCGACAATTGTGACTATCTAGTCTTCTTTTAGCAACTCATACTAGATGGGTCCTTTCACGCCCCACAATACTATGATACGAATTTTGAATCTTCGAACTTTTTTTTGTAAATTTCTTGCCAACTTAATATCGAGAACATGGATGCCATACTCCGCTTTATGGAATTAAAACACTTGAATTTAAACCTTCAGAACCTTCTGAGCTTGCGTGATTGCAACTTACGTACTGCATTCTACATGACGCATGAGAATGTAGCAGAATGTGAGAACGAGATCCCTCAACAAATACTATTAGAACTGTAGGACACTGCGGCAATGAGCAACTTGTCTGATTTGGATTGGCCATGGTGGGCGCCGGAGTGCTTGAAGGACCACTGCTTCGACATTGTCACGGATATTTGGGCTTTCGGATGTGTAATCTTCGAGGTCAGTACTGGTGAAACCTGGTTGGAAACTGTATATTCCCTGCTTGAATGAACACTATTTATTTTTAGATCAATCACGACGGACTTGGGCCATATGCTTTTCAGAAGAAGCGTCCCCAGTCCCATAACGAGTCAGTTCGGAACTTCGAATGTTACCTTAGTCATCTAAACAGTAGCATTTAACTAAAATTTTTGCTCGAACCGCTAGTTTCTGTTAGAGAACGCGATTTCCTAGCAATCATAGAACACTTTTCTTCTTTGGTACACTTCAACGCAGAGTTCACGATAATTTTGAGTTATCTACTTCTCGGCGGGTAATGGAGGTGATAGCCTAGAGTAGTGCAAAAGTGGCGAGGGATACGCGGAAATCGGCGTCTTTAATGAATTATCAGGCCTAAAAATAGAAGTAAAATTAAGGGTTGGACGGGAATGTCACGAAAAACTTGCAGGAAGGGCGAGCTGTTTGAACGCGCTCCTTTGCATACAGCCGGCTGCAATAGTGTAAGGTGTGGGTCCCAATGCTTATGGTGCAACTCTACAGCTCTACTCTTTTACAACGCTTAGCAACTCGTCCGGCTTGGGTGTGCACGTCGATTAAGCTGATTTTACTGGCCTATACTACGCCCTATCTTGACTGTTTTGCAACACGACAGCGTCTCTTATGCTATCCTTGAAGCTCATAGGTTCACCCTAGGGAGAAATTCAAAAGCCATTCTCAACGTGAATTTTGCCTATAATTTGAGAGCAGTTCACCTTCATTTAACGATGATAACTCTATAACACCTCCATCTTCGTCTTGGCACTGAAATTCGTTGATTTGGATCGGATAACATGTTCGAAGTGATTGCTGAAAGATACTGAGAAAGTGCAAAAACACGCTCTATGGTACAGTAGTAAACAGATGGGACATCTGAGTCACCTGAGAGACAGTTCCGTAATGGAATAGATAACATTGTCTTTGATGGAAAGTTTCGCTTCACTGACGTTCAAAGTTGTACACAAAGTCGGACTATAGAGTCCTCCGGGCTAGCTTCTGTTTTTAAAAGCTTGGTTAAAGAGAGATGACAAGGAAATCCGAGTTGTGTCTCTTCGCCTAACTTGTTATAAATACGGCTTGGACACCAAATTTACTAAAATTAAAAAATTAGTTAATGACTTATTTTCATCAAGACGAGAAGGTACTTAGGTAAAAATATAAGCGGCTTTGTTGATGCAGCTATCTTCTCCATTTCACCTTTTCTTCCTTAAATATCACTTTGTATGTGGTTAGTGTTTTACCTCCTTGGCAGTTAGCACGCTCCAGTGATTATAGGACCAATTCCATATACAGTATCTTTCTTTTTCTTAAATGAATACCCTATTCGTATACAGATTTAGGATTCTCCTAATCTACCTCTTTCACACCACTTTCTTTCAATTCCGGTTTTTACTTTACCATTCTTTTAAGTTTTCTTGTTCCTATACTTTATGATTCTACCACGTTAACCATTACTCTTAATTATTGTGGTAGATATTAATTTACCACGTTGATTCCTGACATACTCTTTGGTTTCTACTGTTCCTCACTTACTGAAGAGCCCGAGGAACAGTAGGAACATATTGGTTCGTCTAAGTGAGGGGCGAAACGAACCACCCTACAGAAATATTACCTCATGGTTAGAGATTCCTTCAGAATCACAACACAACTTCATCCACAACATTGATTAGTAGTGCAACGGGCTCGCTTCGGCATAAGTCAAAAAGAACGCCCATGAGGCTCAGCAGAGCTTCTCACAAAGGAGCAAAACATGAATCGGGTTGAATGTGTGAAGTCAAAATCTCTGTTTCATTCGAGAACACCCAAACAACGTGAGGAATAGGTGGATCAATGGAACGAAGAAGACCTTACCGCACTCCATAAGCCACCTTATTGTAAGGTCCCCCCCCCCTCAGGGATTTTGATACTACACCAAATAGGGGTGGTTGCTGTTACGACTGCCGGACGAAAACAGAGTGACTGCACAGGTTCACTGTAACCAAAAACACGAACAGTGAAAAGAGAGAACAGTTGAGAGGGGTTTAGGAAAGGAGGCCCACCAGTGTGGGTCGAGGGGTACGGGTATAAATTTTCGATCGCACCTAATCAAGCTCGCCTCGCAGCTAGGCGCGAAGTGACCTTAAATAGGTTCGAGCACAGAGAGAACTGCGAGTAGGTCCAGCCCAAAAGGACTTGGTCTCTGATACTTAGGCCTTTCTCAATATTTTGATCTTACCTTTTCACGAATTTGTCTCACTAACACTCACTAAGGGTGATGGTCAGGGTCTTCCAAGGCATGGGTCTACAAACTCCGTGGGGGTAGGCCGGCCGTTCGTGGCGGGTAACAAAAAACTAATGACCTCTCCTTCTCAGAGGTTCCCTTTTATCAGTTCTTCCCGCGCCTCTTCTTTCCTCAGACATGTTTATTAACGTTACCAACTACCTTCTGATCACCAGATCACCTACATCCATCTGATCACCGTCGACCCATTGGTGTATTGATCTCAAGAGCATTTCTTCTCCGACGCCTCCCCGTGCAGTTTTCTCTGTCCCTTCCTGACATTGTTTTCTCCTTCCGTGGAAATCGAATAGCAAGCAGGGACCAAACGATTTTGAAGCTAGTACCGATCTTTCATACATATACGAAAACGCGAACGAAGATGAATAGAATAAAGCAAAAACCGATACGAAAGGAGAGTTAATGAATTGAGTAAGAAAAGTGAAGGGGGAGGGGCAGGATGGAGCCGCCCTACTGCTCCGCTGAGTCGCTTCCGAAGAAACTATTTTTAGGGCGTAGCTTTCGTAACGTCCAGTGGGTCAAATCGATGAGTGATCCGTCTCAATCAACTCTCCTGGGCAAGGACCACATCGGAGGCGAGGCGATGTCTTCGTTAGTAGGCAATGCCTTTGTCAAGTAATTACCACATCCCGCGGACACACCTCTAGGCTATGTGAGATGTAGTCAAAACTAGTTGAATAGGTAAGTTCACTTTAAGTTCACAACAATGAATCAATGAGCGAGTTTTTTATCTGCCAAAATCTCTAGTGTGCATCCCTAGTGCGTTGTGTCTTCATTAGTAGGCAAAGCCTTTGTTACCACATCCCGCGCACACACCTCTAGGCTATGTGAGATGTAGTCGAAACTAGTTGAATAGATGAGTTCACTTTGAGGATCACAACAATGGATTCAAAAGTTATTTTATTGATTCACGTCTGCGGTTTACGTTCACGTCAAATGAATCTAAATATCTTTATAACAAAAGCCACCTCGATCACATGGGTCCTCCGAAGAAGAAAGCTCCCTTCACACTCGGGAATGCTCGCCGCGTCCCAACTTTTTCCCATAAGTTTCCCAGCCTTCCTATGTTCACTCTCCTGTGAGAGTGAGGGGACTCGAGAAGGAGTGGTTTCTATGCGCTTTCATTGTACCTGGGTTGAGGGGTCTATCGGTGCTGTGGTCACAATTTGGGTGGGCTGCCGCCTGTTGTGGTGTACGATTCACAAAGCCTTCGACATTAAGCCTGCTGAAATTAATTTCCGAGCAGCCTAATCATCGAGTTGTACTGCTTCTGTGTGGCTGTCCAAAACCACTTCGCTGCGCTCTGGGTGAAATAATGAGCGAGTTTTATTTTTTCCGTCACAATCTCTAGTGTGCATCCCTAGTGCGTTGTCTTCTTACGACTTGGGCGGCATGAGACCTTGCATGAGCTCCTTCGAAGAATGTTTTTGCATCACGGTCTCCTACGCGAAATCTCCAATGAGATTAGTTAATATAATGGTAATACATATAGCTCCACACTTTGGCGAAAACCTGCCCAGAAACCTCGCGTTTCTCCAACGGGATAACTTGACAAAGCTTGCCGGAGAAAACAGTATAGCAGCTGACCATTCCTCTTCGAACCCCGCTGACTGAATATCGTCTGGCTCGACGGCCAGTCTCGCAGACATCAAGGACAGGATAACCACGTCTTAGAATCCCTCCGAGAACACTTAACGTCCCCTAAGGCTGTACCTGCTTCCAGCTCATGGCCCTCCAGAGGTTATCATACGGAAGTATGACAGCATCGCTATACATGCTAGGTACGTTCTAGAGGTCCTTCGAGCGATGAACGTACCTTAGCGTAATTTCCGCGGCAACCTCGTCAGTGGTAAGCGTATGCAAATACAGTAAGAACGGTAAAAGCAATGGCAAAATCAATTGACGTGGGATTTACAATATCAATGAGATATGAAGCTACGTGCTATGCGGAGCTGCTCAGAAACATGGCTCTGAGGGGTATCGGCAAGCAATCTAATTACATAAAATGACCAAATGTGAAAGATGACTGAGGAGCAGACTGCAATAGATTGCTGACCGGTACTTAGACGGTACACACGATACGCTTTTCTTAGGCACACATTCCTTAGGGCATCTCGAGTCGATATGACGGACGTCGCTTGGCGATGAAGTTAGTGCGCTGAAACAGAAATATTCAATTGAAAAATCCTTACAGTCAGTTGGCATGGCTAGAACAGCCGCTACTTTTCTTCTTTTACCGAGTTGCGTTTTGCTTGTTAACCGATTGTCATCGATTTCTCGGGGCTTTCGGGCGGGTAGTTAGCGCTGGCTTCAATAGCGCAAAATGGTCCAGACCGCTATGTAGCTGGTTTCGGGTGTTGCGACTTCCCTTCTCCATCTGGGAGCTGTCTTAAAAGCAGTTTTTGCATCTACTTCCAGCGACTTCGTATCCAGTTTTCATGTGCTCACGATATTGCTCAGCATTTGTGTAGATTGCCTCGCCAGTTTTAACCCGGAAGTAGCTCGGCTTTACAATCGTCATAATCTAATACGGTAACAAGTGGTTAGACGGAGTCACCGGCTTGGCTACCGAGTCGTTTTCTTACTCTGCAAGTTGTTTTCTTCCTTCCGAGGGAATCGAATAGCGAACTGCTATGAACGATAATTCGAACTAGTATCGATCATTCACACATAAACGAAAACGCGAGGAAGAGTTTATTAGAATAAACCAAAAACCGAGGGAATAATGAAATGAGAAAGAAAGGGGAAGAAGAGGTGNAAAAAAAACCATTGGGCTTGGCTTTCGACACATTCTGTAGGTCAAATCGATGTGTGACCCGCCTCGATCGAAATTTCCTGGACGAGGTAGTGTATCCCTTCGCGATACAAATGAGGCGATGTCTTCGTTAAGTAGTAATGTCTCAGCTAATCAATCCATCACATCTCGGGGATACACCTCTAGGCTACGCGAGATGTATTCGAAACTAGTGGAGATCAATGTAAGGATCACAGCCCGTGAATCGAAGATTAAAAAATCATCTTATCAGACAAGTAAAAATATCCTCTGTTTACAACGTTCTTTTTTAGTTCACTTTCAGCCTACGGCGAGATTTTAGAGTTATTTCGAATCAGCGTAAAAACTTCAAAATGTGTAGAAAAAACGAATGCTTGGTCATTACAAAGGAATTTGCTCCTTTATTGTTCCGACTGGGCCTGAACGTTCAGTGGCTTTAAGTAGAGGCAGTTCGTCATGAGCTCCCTCCCCGCGAAATGTTTAGAAGCGGCAGTGAGAGAGGTCTGAAAGCTGAAATCTAAAATGCCGGTGAGGATCGACCTCTAATAATTTTGATGAAAACGACAAGGCGGGAGCGTCAGTGGAATAAAATCGTAACGACTTGGCTTCACAATAGACTTGAAAACCTTGATGTTCTGCTCCCACTTAGTTCTTTTTCTCCTTTTCCAGTATTTCAACAGTAGACTGCTGCGTTCTTAATATTTCCCTGTGGTACTTATGTGAACATTGTTTTTGTTAAGGTGATCCGATTAAGAATTCCAGCAATATCAAAGCAGTTAATACTTCCTATCACCGCTGTAAATATGACCTGTGGCTGATCACTAACAAAGGGTCCTTTTCAGTTTACAAGCAATTTTCGATAGAAAGGAGAAGATGGTGATAGTTCAAGAGGAAGAAATGGACACGTTTCTTGAAGAGTTGCTCTTCATGTGTGTTAGCTATGAACCGGAGGTGAGTCGCTGTGCTGCACTTACTCTACTAATCTGAGGTTCCCGCTGCAGTCGACGTAGTGACGCAGCTTATTGTGGGTCTCTTCTGAGAAAACTCCCGCATTCCGATGGCCTTGGCCTTTGACAAGGAGAACGATAAACCTTAAATGAGTATGCGATGGAATTTCTTTTTCTTCCTAACGTTGATCCAGCGCCGTCGCAGGGTACGCTGTTCTTATTGGTCGTCTCTTTTTCTTTCTATCTGCGGCATCAATGCCTTGAGTTGCCCATTAAGTCTTTCTTGACCACGTCCTACCTCATCGTCTTTAGGGCTTCAGGTGGCCTCTCAGCTCACACTTCCCTCCTACTGAGTGGTCCGATGCCCATACCATGGCAGGTACTGTTTTCCCATCCACAGGAGTTGTTTGTATGACTGCCGTGACGTCCTCGTTTCTGATCCAGTACAGCAGAGCCCAACATCGGTCCCATCTCAACATACAAATCACTGCTGAGTGAAATTGTGCATACAAACTGCTCGGGTGTGCGAACTTGGGCATGAGTGGTCGCTTCGTGTTCGGGTGCGAAGTGACCTCAATCGAACCTATCTTAATTACGCGCCTCTCCTCAACCGTACCTCACCTCATCTTAGTTATGAGAGTAATGGCAGAGAGTGAAATTTCAGTAGAAAATTAGGGTTGTGGACAAGAGAATTTCCAACATCCGCGGTTTCGAGAGTTCTATTACCATGTATATAGTAAATTCAGTAGATTCAAAAATGAACTTCGTGTAGATACTTTCTATTAGGAAATTAGGTTTCTCTAAACTCTACTGGATTTTTTGCTGAGATTTCTTTTACCTTGCATGTTAATAAAACTTTTCAAACCAAAGGCGATGAAAAGTTAGGAATTCTACGCTAGGAAACTAGTCTCTTAGAGTTTAACTTTCTAATCATTCTTATTCGTCATCAATCTCTTAACTAAGATGAGCTTAAGTACGATTGAGGGGAGGCGCGAAATTAAGATAATTCAGGTAGAATTAAGGTCACTTCGCACTTAGACGCGAAGTGATCGCAGCCGTATATAAATTTCTCCTAGTCGTGTTAGTCGTACCCAAATTCCCACGCCCTAACTGCTCTATATAACCTAAATTTGAACCTCCTTGACCACCGCTGGCCGCATAGGACTTCACTGGTCTCGCTCCATTCCATCCACTTCGTATTCATCCCAGCCTCTACAATCTGGTCCGCACTTCCGTCAGCAGACTTGTCGCTCCCTGTTTATCGAAAATCCTGCCCTCTTTTTATAGCTAATTAGTTCGACTCTTCTGAAGCTCCAGGGTAAGCTGCAGAAAGGCAATTCTGGATTGCCTTTCTGCAGCCTACCCTGGAGCTCTTCCTTACGCGTCGGCTACCGAAGACACGTCCTCAGCCTAGAGGAAGGATGGTCTTCAGTGATCCATCTATGAGTTTTTTGTGATGAGATCCATTGCTATAGGAAGAGGAACGGGCTCATAGCTGGAGCTGAATGCTCCTCAAGAAATTTGAAAGGCTTCGAAAGCCCAATCCAGCTTGCGGAAGGCCAGGAAGCAAAGTCTACATAGCCTACTCCGATCTGAAGACAGCTTCTCTCGATATTTCTCTATACCTGTCTTGCTGCGGAGGTGGCATCGTTTTAGACCCTCACGGCATGAAAACGAACTGCTCCTATGAGATGGTAAGAAGTTTTCAATCCCAATTCGACCAACTACAGTTCATGCATGCACAGTAAACCTGGTCACAATTGAACATTCCATCGCGTTTACCTTCTGTCTGAGGATGAAGTCGATAGTACTAGTTCCCCACGCAACTAGGGACACTTCCCTCAGCAGTTACAGTATTTAGGAACAGGTGAAATCACCCAAATAAGCGCTTTTTGAGCAACTTTCGTGCCTTAATTGGTACCTCATACAGATCAATTGCTTTTCCGACCATTGTTTTCCCTATTACTACTCGACGAAACTTATTTTCTTTCAAGTTGGCAGTGGGGCAAACCGTCATATCCACCTGGGGGCTATTCTCACAGTAACACGATGGGGTTCTTCGTTTAGGAGCCTATCGAAAAACTATTCTTCTCGCCTGACCCCACCTGGCTCCCGCAATATGGCGTCGCTGTCCTTTATATCACACACTGGCCGGAAGAAAAACTTCTTTCCTTCTTGACCATCAGCAGTTTTTGGTCTACTCAACTGTTCGGATCCTGCAAAAAATTTCCATTCATACGAATATTTGAAAATACACTCTCACGAGATCGGAGTAAACGGAAGTAGAGCAACTACGTCCTAGCAAGAGGACACTCGACTGCTGAAGGTGTCTATAAGTGTGAGCAGCCTAGGAGCTTAGGAATATAAAAAAACTCCTGAGTCTCTTCAATCATAAAACTCCTCAATCACATAATACCATCAACAAAACATTAGGGAAGAACAGTTGGACGCTCAGAACTCGGATTAAAGTGTTTGTTACACATGTATCACTGAAGCAAACGGTAGTGAAGCAAGTTCAGTCGAGGAGTATGCACCACCTAGTAGCTACCATGGAGGAGTATTCGGCGATTGGCCACGATCCGCGCACGTGACACGCGGCAGAGAGGCGCCCATATTCCCAGGTAACACGCTTCAGACAAGCCGTCCATTTCCGTATTCTTTACCTTATCTACAGCAGATTTAGCGTCTCATCTGTATTCGGCTAGGTCTTTTAAAGTTCGCGCTTTTTGGCAGCGCTTGCACACGGCTTTTTTCTGCTTCACAACTAACGTCATTGCTTCAGGACTTTTCCGTGTCGCCACGTCATCCATCTCTCCCTCGTCTCCCCAACCGTTTCCACTGTGAAATTCATTCTAGACATTAGCATGACTTCCATGCTGTCGTTCTAGGTTTGCTGTTTCGGCCTATCATAGGTACACCAGCTTCCAGTACCTTCCGTTTGAGCTTTCTTTGTCGGCTCGATGCATCGTCCACCACTATATCCTCCGGTCCGTTTCCGTTCTTGATTCCTTGGTAGGCTAAGTGGCCATGTCTGCTGGGAGAGGTCTGTGCTGTGTAGTTCGGCAAGACTTTTATGTACTTTGCAGTTTTGAGCGACGATCTTCTCACGAGTATGTGGTCAACTTCCGCTTGTCTCCCTTTACTGCTGTAGATAACCTTCTGAGTCTTTCCTCTCGCGAAGAACGTGCTATACATAGCTGGGTCGTCGACTGTGGCGAAGTCGATGATCCTACTGCAACTGATCTGTTGGCATCGTCAAGGCTCCGATAAAACTCTTTTTTTCGCAGTTTCAGCAACTCGGCTTGTGGTGTACACGAGTTTTATCGTCTACTACCACTCTTTTGTGTTCTTCCCTCACAGCCATGATCCTGTTGACAGCGGAGACGGAGTATTTTGAGGACTCCACTACTGCGATGGCCAAATCACTCCGTTTGGTGTCTCTTCGTTGTAGTAGAGCTTGATATCCCTCTTCAGTTTTTCGCGCCTTTACATTTTTTCAGCATGTCTATGAAGGGCTAAGGCTCGAATATTTTCGTGCTTTATTAGATCAGCTATCTTTCGGGACTCGCCAGTAGGAGATTCCACGGTAAAATCCCTTTCGAATCAACTCTTTCGACCGAGGTCGTTCATTCTCGGTAGCCCTCGCATACTGACCACGGTCCTGCGCGCCACATACATGTGACGTCCTTACAAATGATTTCGCTAAGCAATAGTGCATAGGAGAGTCGACATACGCCGTAGAAGGGTGTATTATGTAAGAATATACAAAGAGGGTGTACTCATTCATTAGTGTGGTGAAGTGATTGGGTAATACTTTTTCTCAAAAATTAGTGGTAGCTACTTCCAGTGTTCTAGAATAGGTTTTCTGACATCATCTATTCAACATAGAAAATACTCTCTGCTTCCCCTCAGTTGTATATTCATATGAAACTTTGAAAAAAAAAGTCGTTTCGCCTTGTCAACAGAACGAGGGAGCCCAGCTCCTCTCAAATATCAGTAGCATCCCCATGAGAAGCCTGCCAGATCTAAGCCAATTTTGCGTCAAATGTTTGAGCCATTCGACAATATTTCTCTACTTTGAAATGAATGCTAAACTGTAGTCAAATATAAAGATTTACTGCACATTTGGCTTCGAGTCCTTGGGTTATTGGCCCTAGGAAATCCGAATAAACACGCCATGGTCCGGGAAAATGATGCTCACAAGCATTTGGGAGTTTAAACAGCAAAACAGAATGAACAGAATTATCAACAATTTGTTCAAAATATTCTTGGAATAACTGCAAAAAGGAGAAGTTGTTGATGAGCAAGTATACCTGTGATCACCTTTGAAAAGCACATTTCAACATTAATGAACTGCGTGAGTGTCTGGACGAGCCAAGAGAAGCAAAAATGGTTTAGGACCGCGCAAAAGCGCCTTCACTGCTCTCGTATCATGTTTGGCATTATTTATTTACTTTACTTCGTATGGATTTCAGTTAGTTCCTAAGTAGAATCCATATGAGCGGTTCAATGAATTCATGGTACGACGCATCGCAGAATCGAGTCTGATGGTTGTAATAACTGTCCTGATTAGAGCTGAATATAAACTTCCCTCACAGACCACATTTTTCTGCGTGGAGTTAAATTTGCAAGAAGAAACGAATCATCTTGATTATTTTTGGAATTTCTTTGTATTCTACTCTATTTCCACTTGCTTACATAGATCAATGCAGGCAGCAATTTTCAACGTCAACTTGCCTACATCCCAGTTTTGCAGTCTCGGCCGACATTCGACTACTTGTTCAACTTCTTCCGTGCTCTGCTCTTCGACTTTGCTGTAGGACCTGACCCTGCCATTCAAAAGTACATAAAGAAACCGCCGAAAAAGTTCAGTCATCAGCAACGTGCAAAATAATAAACGTAAGTGTCGATTACTCAAAATTATCATTGTTGTTGTTTACGCCTTAACACCCTTTTTGCTTTGTTTCTTATGCTTCCGTACCTGGAAGCCGAGCACAACCATGTTGAGAGCAACAGGGAGGGTTTTAAAAGCAACAGATAAGAAGTGAAGGAGCATCAGTCCGTCAGCAGAAAAAAAACAAAAGGAACCCCTGAAGCCCAGTAATGCGATGATTACATTGCGATAACTCTTAAGGAAAGTACGCGAACAACAACAGCTACTTGATGTTTGTAGGAGTTCTGACCATTTCTAAATCGTTACTGTTCGAACACCAAAATTACGGCCCCACAAACAAATCGCTAGCTATCTGGGCTTAGTGAGAGGCGCGACAGATTATACACCAAATACTTGGAGATCATTTCATTCAGCAACATCGTAAGCGCTAGCTAGAACTTCTGATTTGTAGGCCAACTGATGAACTAATTGGCACGCCAACTAAAAAACTATTCATTCTTATATCGGGATGATAGAGGTCTTTCAGAAATCGATTCTATGGTCTAAACTTTCCCATGCTCGAGTAGTTCCCAATAAGTAAATCAGATTGGATAATTTGAGGGCTGAGGTGCTGTAGCGGCAAGTGGCGCACTATCACACCCGCACATCCCGGGTTCAAATCCAGATCAGTAATCGATATTCGCCAATACTCCATTACGATTCTGATTGGAAGTCGAATACGGGGACATATCCCTTAGATGGATTGATCGACGCCTGAAGGCTTTGTCTTAATTCTTTAAGTTAAGTTGAAAATTGGTATAAGTGGTATTAGCTGATGGATCGTTCTGGAATACGCCGCGCATTCTACTCCGTTTAAAGCCAAAAACTTATTTGAGAGAGTGTATGACCCATAGAACGATTTGCGATCAGCTAATGGTGAAACACCTTTTTTCTCAACTAATTGGTTTTGGGGCTGACATAGTGCAAATGCCCCGATCAAAGCGAAAAACAGTTGCCGCTCTCTTTTGGTCTTTTTAGTCCACTACTCTTCTTCACCTGCCTAAACAATCTTTCGCTTTTGCTAAAACCCAAATCGACCAGTTTTTACAAAAGCAACTTCTTGAATGCAGCAGTCAAAACTTCAAAATAGGGGTGTATGCAACCAGTTTCCGACATGCACTCTGAATGTGCCTTCTCTGATTTGTCCATCTGGATGGAAACATCGCTCAACAGCTACCCTCACAGAGGAGAACGAACGTAGGAATTGAAGAGTGGGGCACTCTTGCTGCAAAAAATGACCGGAAACACTTCGATGCAAGCAATACTGCAAAAACGTTCCGACAAGTGTCCAGTGACCTATTTGTGTACATCTCACTTCTTTTGTTGTAATTTCTTTGCAGTGCCAGGCACGACCACAAATACATACAACTTAACCACTGTTCCTATACTTCGTACTTGATTTTGTTTGTGTATTGTTGATAGCATTTTGTGCCGTGAACATTATCTCACTAGCGCTAGGTTTTAGGCACCAGCCACGAACCCTTAAAGGCACAGTCCACGATGATTCTAAAGCATTCGATATAAAAGAGAGGAGAAGCTACATATGGCGCAGAACAGTGAAAAGTAATGATGGAAGCGCCAAAATCGGCAAATTCCAAGAATATTTGGTTCTAAAAAAGAGTAATAAAAAGTACGAGTTTGTACGAGATCGTGACGAGAGAAGCTGCAAGGAGGGAGTGTTCAGAAGAATCACCCGTCGCTCTCATAGCGTAGAAGGCCTCTACCAAAGTCACCATTTTTATCGTCAACTGTGCCTCTAGGGAGTTCAAAGCCAAGTTTTTCGTGTTTACCCTTTTAAGTGTTGGGATTCACAACGAATTTTCATATTTAGTGGTAGTTTTACTGGTTTACCAACTTTCACACCTATAACAAAGCGTATCTTGGTAATACAGTACGCTTGTTATATTGCATTCTCTAGTTTCAACTTCTCATCTTTTTCGGGGTGAAACCCCAAAAAGTTTTCACAACAGAAAGTATGATTCAGGAGCATATGATTTTACTGAGCACTTATGATCTTTTCCGAATGGAGAACCAAAATTGTTTTAACGTCGTTGGCGTTTTTCTTAGAGCACAGCCACGGTTTCAGAGTATATCGCTAAGCGTTGAGAGTCGATGCCGCGTTAGCGTCCGCGCGGCCGACACTGGCATCGTGCTATGTAGGCCTCTACAAAAATGGAGGTGATAATGCACATGGTTAGGAGCCTCCGCTTCTTTTTCAACACTGAGCGCTAGAGCGCAGATGAGGAATAGCCATAGTAATTGTGCTCATTAATGCTTCTTAGCCGAGAATATACATTTTTTTTATCTGAGCCTCAGGAGGGAGGGAGCACCGGTGTGAATGAACTACCATATTATAAACCACTCAACTCATAACCCACCCTAGCTTTGAGGAATAGCGACCCACCCTTCTTCGCACTAAAGTCCTTATTGTCGAAGTAAAGCGAAGCCGCCTCTCCCTAAGTACTCTTTAAAGGAAGGAATGAGGCTCAGCGTAAGCCGGACGACCCGTCTGGCATTATGTGAAGGAAAACTGCCTCGGGTACACAGATCAAAAATGGTGAAATTCTTTTTTGAGGTTTCATGGAGCATTGCCGGGTCGGAACGCGGCATGGATAGGACACAAGGGCAAAAAAATGGATTCCACTCCGGAGCCACTCATTACACCTAGGAAAAGACGTCTCTATTGGCCTTGTAAGGTTCATACGAGTTCTAAGCACATCTGTTGTAAATGTAGTCAACTGGTACACGCAAATTGCCATCACGCTTCTCGGCAGTGATTGAAGTCTCGTCCGAACATCCCTCCCCCCTCTACATACCCAATCCTACAGCGAAAGTTAGCTGGGTTTTGGTAATATATATCGATATTTCTCAATAGTTTTTATATGTTTCTGCGTTGTTCGGATTCGATTCTACAGCAATATTTATACCTTGTAGTGGGAATGAAATTATCGCGAAATCAGCTAAAAATGCCTACATTGCCTTATGGTCAAAAGAGAATGAAAGCTGTTCCCATCTTTTCCTAAGTTTTGGCACTATACTCACCAGTCTTTCTGTGCCATCACAGATGGAGCAGGCAATAATTGCGAAAGTGGCCGCAAAGTGCCACTTTTTCAATCAGTAAAAGATACGGCAGACGTCCTCCATAATGTTGGGTGGCCTATTTGTTTTTCAGTTCTTCTCGTTCTTCCTTCTTTAGTCCATAAGAAACTATGAGAACTGATCAAAAAAACTCCGCGTCGCCTTCATTTACCTTACACTCTCCTACACTGCCACTTCGTCTTCCATCCTTAGTAACCAATTTCCAACTTCCACAGTTAACATTGGACTTCTCGAACTGCCCGCATTTTTGCTCAATTTCAATAGAGGACATTAGATCATCATTGCACAGGAAAACTGAGGCGACGCTGGCGGCCCTCTCCAAACGACAGCGATTGTTAACTACTCCGGGCTATTAGTGATCACTAAACCAGCTGCATGCACTGCTGCACAACACTTCAGAGATGTCACTAACAAAAGGCAGCCTACCTGTCACTGACTGAGAAGCTCTGTTGTCGTTGCTGTAACATAATCTCCCAGTGGGCGGTGATCTGAGCTTACATTCTTGTAAAGCTGCTCATAAACTTTTCATTCTATTAGATTTGAGAGAGGATTAGAACTTCCAGGAAAAGTCCTGCTAACATGTGAATAATCGCTACATTTCCTCCGAAGGTATAGCAGTCTAGGATAGGGGACAGCCATAGGAACCTTCTGAGAGAATTGAGTGTTGTGTTGTTTATCACTCTTTTGTCTTCAAACAAAGTCGAGTGGGAAAGTGGGGGCTACATTGTGCTTAAGGCCAGTGTGAACGAATCCTCAAGCCGCTTTGTTGTGGACAACCGAAATAACCAAGGAGGCAGATCACTCATCGTCTCAATTTGACCGATCCGTTTCTTCAACGACACTCATAAATCATTGTTATGAGGATTAGTAAACAGTCCTTTATCTTTGGCTCGTCAGCAGTCTACGTAGGCCAAAGTCTCAGCGATGACAATCATCTCCCAATAACGTTTCCTAATTCGGTTACATGGAAAAAAGGAAAGGCAACGAACGAGTGGGCGCCCACTCTTTGAACTGTTCCGGTTCTCTGATCATCAATTTTCTAACTATGTACCTCCATTTCTGGCAATTCAATTCCATGGAATATGCCCGACCATTCTAATTTTGAGATAGTTGAACACAATAGAATTACGAAAATGAGAAAATACCAAAAGGCCACATTACGATAAAAATGAGCTACACATAGCTACTAAGCCTACTTTGAACCTCACGAGAGATGAAGGTGCCCATCCTTGATCTAGCAGCCCCATCACTTGAATTACTTGTAAACCTAACTTTCATTTCATTGAGGTTTTGTGTTCGGTCCCTAAGCAGTCTTTCTCCTTGCAATGATTTTCAACTTCAGTGTCCCCTATCTATGACAGCTTGCATAAGAGCAACCCGATCGTCGCCTGCTGCTGCCTACCTTATCAAACAACCTTATCTAGTAGAAAAGCAGCTTGTTATGGGCAGATCAAAGGTTGAACTTCGCATGTTTTGCTCTTTATCATGCTGAACCGTGCTCGAAAGAAATGTTAAGCAACGGACAATGACTGAACTCTCTTCCCAATTCGTAACGTTAAAAGGGTCCGGTTCCAATTAACCTTGTTTTTCTAATTCCTTTTCCCCTAGCTAGAATAATAGCCGTCAGTTGGCAACTCCGAGTGAAACACTGTCACACAGTTTCGTGACGGTGACAAAGACTATCACCCCATTCGGGAATTACCCAGTGATCAATCAGTACTGAGAGGGTGAAACACGAGATGTCCTGCTTTTTCCCACTGGTCCACACTAGAGATTGTGAAGGCATGTGAATAGCCTATGCGAAGACTTGACAACAGCATGTCGGAAGCTGACTGACGGACCCACTTCCCCACGGTCGCAGGGGCACGGCTGTAATTCTGCGGAAATTACCATAA